TGACACCAACTCACATCTTATAATTTGCCGAAATATTGACTTCAATATCCACACTCCGAACGATCCAGAATTCTGTACCGATGAGATTAATAATGCATTCCACAGGCTTTGTAACAAGAAATCACCGGGTCATGACAACATCACTCTAGAATTGGCAAAAATTCTCTGGAGTCTTATTCCTATGCAGCTCTCCCAGCTTTACAATGCCTGCCTCAGGCATGGAATCTTTCCTCAGACCTGGAAACGAGCCAGGATCGTCCCTGTTACTTCTGAAAGCAGGCCTTTCTCTTTCTTTCCTTGAAAAACTGGTAAACAATAAGTTAATGTGGCACCTAGAGTCCAATAACATTCTCCATGACTCTCAGTTTGGCTTTCGGCCACAGAGGTCAACCGCTGACGCCATCAAAAAATCTATCAACTCTGAAGTACCTTCTTGAAGATTATAATTACGTTCTGGCCATCAGCCTGGACATCGCCAAGGCGTTTGACAGTGCCTGGTGGCCAATGATCCTTCAAAACCTCAGAAATATAAACTGCCTGGCAAATATATGTAATCTACTACGTGATTATTTAAAAGACAGAATGGCCATTCTTCAATGTGGAAGACACATCATTCGACGAAAAATCGTCTGCGGCTGCCTTCAGGGTTCTGTATGCGGACTGATCTTTGGAATGTGATTTTTAATGACTTTCTTGTTCAAGACTTTAGAAAGCATGGCACCGTGGCCTATGCCAATGATGCCCTGATCCTTCTTGGGGGGCAGTTCTAGAGCAGCCTTAGAAAAGAATGACAATAATATCCTGGACAAAATACTAAAATGGGGGAAAGAGTACAAACTGGACTTTAACATCCAAAAAACCAACTGCAATGTGTTCAATAAACCCGGAAACAGAAATCTCTATTTGCGTGTTCCCACAATTAAAATGGCTGGATAAACAATTCCTTTAGACAAGAACATTAAGTACCTGGGTGTGGTTCTGGATCACAGGCTGCTCTGGAACGCCCATACTGAGTATATCACCGCACGGACTGGCAGGATTTTTCATACTTTTGCTGTCATTGCAAGGCAACGTTGGGGATTGAACTCAGAAGCCATGGATACCATATACAACTAGATCTTTGTCCCAATCATCACATATGCCTGCAGCAGCTGGGGGTGGGCTGTCTGCAAGGTGCATATAAAGCACAAACTTATTGCTCCACAAAGAACTGCTTTAATGCATATTACCAAAGCCTACTCCACAACCCCAAACTCTTCTTTTCAAATCCTTGCAAGGAAGGCACCTATTGACAGTTACATCCGACTACAAGAAAATATCTGACAGTTAAAGTGGGGCAACACCACCCTTGTCAATAATCAACAAATACATCGCCAAGAGTTAGAACGACCAGTCCAATTCACTGATACTAAACACCCTGCTTCTCTTAAGAAACTAAACTTTTCGCAACCTGATGATGCCGATTTTCAAATCTTTACAGATGGATCTAAGACCAATTCTAATGTGGGCAGTGGCTATGTGGTCTACCAGGACAATGTGGAGACTGCCTCAGGCAGTTCAAGCTTGGTGCCTTCTGCACATTCTTTCAGGCCGAAATGTATGCAATCAAAATGGCCGTTGCCTGGTCTGACTCAAATTATACCAATACTAAAGTGTCCATCATCTCAGACAGTCAATCCTCTATAGCCTTGCTTAATAGTTAAGCGTCTCACTCTATCTCAGCCGGTAGCCACGACATCAATAACTCCAATAATATTTATCGCATCAGCTGGACACGTGACCATCAGGGCACACTTGGTAATGAGAGGGCCGACATACTTGCAAAGACTGCCAGCGAAGACAACAATCTCCGGATCCGCTATAATAGCCCTACCATTAAAATCATCAAGAATATACTTTGGAAGGGCCTACTTCAGCAGTGGAAACATGACTGGGACACGCTTAACCATCCAATCACTCACCAATTTATTCCCAATATTAAACTATTTATCTCAAACAATTGGTACAAACCATGTCATCGTATGTCTCAATTTTTAAGAAATCATGGCAAGTTCCAGTTTTACCTGGCCAGATTTATTGGTGCTGCAAACTCTGATTGTCCTCTTTGTGGTGTGGACGACAGCTCGGATCATTATATCTTCAACTGTCCTATGTTGGATCACGAAAGGCACTTCCTGAGGTCCTCCATGGAGGCGCGTGGATACTGCTGGCCCAAAGACTGCCACAATATCCTGGACAATAAAGATACCTATTAGGCCCTCACAAGGCTCATCAGTGCATACTTTCCTGTGTGCACTGTTAGTTGTATCCAGGAACGGTGGTGCGATGCACTACCGTTCCTGGATACAACTAACTTTTCTCATAAACTGTGTTGTATTGTCTTATTTTTCATTGCTACTGGTACTATTACTTTTTAACACACTGTTTTTTTTTATAATTTCTTACTGTATTATATGGTTTGCCTACTGAATTTTATATTATTATGTATTTTAATTTTCTCAAATAAGTCATTGTAAATTTAATTAATTGCTATTGTATTATGTTTTCTACTGAAATATTGTATTATATTTTGTCTGCATTATTATTCTGTAACGTATTGTATTTTGTTATTGACATTCTGTATTTTGTGATTCTCTGCTGTATAATATTTTAATGCAAATGTTTTCTGTATCATACAACTTGTTATTTTATTCCCATCTTTTGTATATACTACACATGTAATGTTACTATACCCTATAATTTCAATGATCTGTAATAATGCCAATATGTTCTTGTAAAATTTCGGTTTTTCTGTATTTTGAATAATTGCAGTAGAATTTTTTTACGAAACTTCTATGCCTATACGAATATATGTAATTTTAAACGACTTGTTCGGGTACGTGATATCTTTATATCCAAAAATAATTTGGAGTGGACCAAATGAGTTGATATCTGTACTGATGGAGCTCGTTTTATGTCCGGCTGTTATGGCAAATTGCGAGCACTTATAGGAAGCAAAGCCCCTGATGTACTGTGGACCCATTATTCACTTGCATCAAAATATCTGAGTTTTACATTGAACCAGGTCTTAGGTTATGTAATGAATGTAATAAAATTTATAAAGACTCAGCCGTACAAGGCAAGATTTTTCAAAAAACTATGTGAAGATAAGGGATCAGAGCACATGTCTTTGTTGTCACGTGTCACAGCACTTCGCGCTGGCTCTCTCGTGGTAATGTTTTGTCTCGTACGTTTGAACTGTAACAGGAAATTTATATCTTTTTCAAAGAGGAAGTCCCGAAGTATGTCGAAATTATGTGAATGAAGAGTTTTTGATAAAACTTGCATACTTATGTAATAATTTTGAAAAGCTGAATGTTCTGAAACTCTCCCTGCAGAAAAGCAACATGCATGTTTTAAAGTCGATTGAAAACATTTCAGCTATTATAAAAAAATAAAAACTATGGAAAAGAAAAATAACTAAAGACGGAGGAAAAGAATGTTTCCCATTGCTGCCACAAGTTTTTGACCCTCAGTGATGTTGATTTCTCTCAAAATATAAAATCTATTTTTGAAGAACATTCATCCCTGCTTATCACCTGGTTTCAGAAATATTTTGAAAATTATAATTTCGATAAATTTGCATGTATTAAAAATTTATTTAATGTCGGTGCTTCATTTGAATTTATTACTGCAGAAGAAAAAAATCTTATTGAGTTGTCTTGCAACAATACGTTGTAAACAAAATTTAGCAGCATGGAAATAACTGAATTTTCGATATCAGTAAAACATAAAAATCCCTTCTGAGTGGTAAAGCTCAGAGAATCTTAATTCCATTTGCAACTTCTTATTTGTGCCAGGCTGAGTTTGTCGCTGTGATAAACACTAAACATTTTATGAAAATCAATGTGAAGAAAGAAATAAGGGTGGGTGTGTCCAGTTTGATTCCAAGATTTGAGAAAATGATCAATGATCATCAGGCTCATTCATCCCACTAATTATAATTCATTAAATTTGTTTAATTACATGTTTTGTTATCTTAAATACGTGTATTATTTATTTTTTACTTCACCTTCTAACTCTATAATTAATTAAACAAATATTGATTATTTCGCTATTTTTCTCAAATTTTACTTGTTAGAATTTGACATAGGACGCCTTGGGAAAATCTGCATTTAGCAAGGGCGCTAAGAATCGAAAAAGTTTCGGAACCACTAAAATAAACTATAACAAGCAATCATTTATTGTGACATTGTCACAATGCCAGGTTGCAATTTTTAATCATACAGTGGTACCTCAGGATACGAAATTAATCCGTTCCGAAACTGAGATCGTATCATGAAAATGTCGTAAGGTGAAACATCTTTTCCCATACGATTACATGTAAAACCAAATAATTCGTTCCAACGCGAAAAACATACTCAAATTAAAGCCAAGTAATACATTTAAAAANTTACAATAGCTAATGTTTGAGAAATATTATTGATCTCTCTGATCAATAACATCGATTTCTCTGATCAATAATATTGATCTCTCTGATCAATAATATTAATCAGAGAGACCAATTTTTAATCATACTTTTAATTTATTTAATTTAAAATATATGCTCTCCACCTCAAATTAGATATGGCTTGCACCTGTACCTCATACTTTTTCTTTAATAATAGACACGTGATCATCTATTTAACATATTTCAAGGGAAAATTTTTGAATTTAAATAACGGTTTGCATTGGATAACTATATAAAATTAATCCGGTCCTGAGTTTGCCGTTTTTTCGATATTTTATCTTATCCTTAATCTATCTAACTCTATTCTTGAGTTTAAGGAAATACCAACAGACGACATTGGAAATTTATTAGTTTACATATTCTTCGGATTGCAGCCTGTTGAGTTACACTTGCAATTTAAGACAATGCAACTTTTTAAAATGCAACATTACATTGTAATACAAATGATATCAGAAATTTATTGTAACAAAATTATATTTTACAGAATTATACTTTTATCACCAATTATTTTCTGTATTGCAATGTCCGATGTTTCCTTTATTAAAAATCAATTTTCATAAATTTTCACTAATCTGTTTTAATACCCACACTTGAATTATTACGAAGTTGACAAACTGCAAAATAAAACATTTATTTTCAAATTATAAATTTTTAATGAAATATTATTCAAATAATTTTTAAGTAATAAAAACATTATAATGAAAATTTCTAAATGAATTATACACATTCGTACTCTCGTATATTCGAATGGAACAAAGTATATACTTTCGTATTAAGTTGAATAATAAGATATATATATCTTAAATTATTTCTATACATAAAACATTATAAATTGCTGCAGCATCAATTATTTTTATAAGAAAAAGTTTGAGGATTTAACGCTTTGATGGTAGCCCACTTCATTTTAGTATAATCAAATTCATGAAATCAAATAATGAAATTTGCAAATACTGATTTAGAGTTACTATTATGAAAAGTTAATTCTTTCAACGTAAAGACAGAAGAATATTTTAACATAATAACAATTATGAATGGCAAACAACCAGTTTTTAAAGATGAAAAGAAACAAGATACGAAAGTACTTTTCCTTTTAAGTTACACAAATATCTTTACAAAAATAATATATAAGTATATTTATATAAGTAGTTACGTAAATGAAGAAATGTAAGTACAACACATAAATTAATCGATTTATAAAGAATACGTATTTATCTTTACCTATGTTTATAAGCAAACGATCCTTTTAAAAGTAATTACATTATTCTGATATTTATGTAAGGTGAGTTATTATATAAAATAATATGCTATATTATATAGTATTATAAAAATAGTTTATATAACATACTTTTAAAATAAAAGCCTTATTCAATACGAAGAACTTTTTACAAGTTATGCCATTGTTCCCGTTCTTCTGAATTTGAAACATGTTAAGTATCTATAAGAAAATATAAGAGAATGAGTATTATTTTCAAAATTATTCAGTTCCTTCAATAACTCTTACCTTTAACTCCTCGGAAGTATTTGAAACGTTACAGTAAAAACATGTGACATAATTCCATACATTTGACATCTATATAAAAAAAATTTTATTTTTGAAAATTCCATAAAACATAATAATTATTCATAATTGTTATATACTTTTATATAGTTATATTCTCTTACCTCGGTTGATACAGGAACAAAGAATGAAATAAATGTAATTAAAGCTAAAAACAAAACTATTCCAACAGTACATGAAATAATAACAAAGTAATAAGGTATATCTATAAACAGAACAACATACAAAATAATCATATCTTGAAGAAGAATAACAACAAATAATAACAAAATAAGGAAACCAACAGTTTCATCCAGTAATTCCAAAAGTTCGAATATATGCGTAAACAAACAGAGATGAATGTTTATATTTCTGACGTTTTGCAATTTGTCTACATGTTTTATAAAAGCTCGTAGAATGTCTACAAATACTTTAATTACTAAATACCCAGCATATGTGGTAAGTATAGCGATTCCCAAAGAATACCAAATAACGGTCATGATATACACAATACAAACTGTATCTGAAAATTTCCATTTTCCTTTGTTCTTCTGATATCGTAAATATCCAATTGAATTAAATAATATAAAATAGCAAATCACGAAAGATAGTACACTGTAACAGATAGCAGTTTTGTTCCTTTTGTAGTCATAACTCATCAAATTTCGTAAATGGCGATTAACTGGTTTAAAAATCACAACAAAATCTTTTAAAAAATAATAAACTTTATCAGATTCAGCAAAGTAAAACAAGTACAAAAGCGTAATATTCATAAGAAATAAGACCATATAAATTATTTTCGCAGAATTATTTGGAATAAACCCAATGCAATAATTCATATCCTTATTTGAATCGTCTATCATTATGTATATAATTTGTACAAGAAATGATAAAAATAAAATGTATAGGAGACATCGAAACATTACTTTACAATTCAGCATACTCTGCCCTTGATTACTTCTAAAGACATTTATTCCAAAATATCGTGCCAAATTTAAAGTAATGCAAAAATAATGTCCAAATATGTCGTGGATATCTTCAGAGTCCATTTTGAATTAAAACAAATTTAGTTCTGTAAAGTAAGTGATTATATAAAGAGGTAAAAGATTTTAGTCATGTAGAATCTCATTTGTTTTTTTTTCATAGAAATAGTAAGTGAAAATATTATAACATTTCCAAATTTCATATATTTCCTTCTTGTTTAAATAACATGTATAAATTCACGTTGGTAATTAAATTTAATCAGCAAAAGAACTTTAACCAAATGCCCTCAAGATACAATATCTCATTATTTTGAAACGGAATACTTAGTTTCTCCTATTTTACATGATATTACTCCTTGTTAAACTAAGGTAAGTCTAGTAATGAAAGAGCCTTACTTATCTTCAATATTTGCCAAACATTAGTGGTTGCTATGATACACGTAATACATAAGCACATAAATTAGATTCGAAGTTATAAATACAGTAATTTATATGGTATTTATTCTATCTATTTTAACCGTTCGCTTAATATAAAAACTTTAATTATTTAAACATGGAATTTGCTCTATAATTGTGATAATTATGTTTTATTGTTATTTTGTAAGAATGTGAGCAAATTTCTTATTAAAATATATTTTATTTATTTCCATCTTTGAGTTTTGTCAACAAAATCTATTAAAGTTTTCTCATACGTTAGAAATTTTCTTGACTAATTTTCTTTTGTTATATACACAGAGCTGGTTTAGATAGATGCAGACCAAATCTTCAGAATGGCTAATAATGTAATCTTTGTCAATACGTCTTTTGTCCAATTACTAGTGTATCTTAAAGAACGCTACATGTTGGCTGTCATTATTTTTCTAAGGAATTGTTTTAGAATCAGGAATTTTAGCTGAAGAATTTCCAAGAATGTGATCTATCTTCGTTATTTATCATATTTTTCAATGTATATCGTAAAAAATAAATATGCAATATCTTCAGTCATTTGTATATTTTAAAGATACCTAGTGTCTACTTATACACCCAGTCGTAAAGTAAAAAAATAAGAAAAAGAATACAGAGTTTCAGAATAAGTCAAGAAAATTCGAATAAACATACAGATTACAATATTCTGTATGTTGACTTTATGATTTTAACAAGAATATTCAAGTCATATTACTTTTGTAGATAACAGACAGCAGTAGATTTTACATTATTAGAAATAAATAAGTTTTATTTAAAAATAAAATAAATAGAGCATTACAAATAAATTCGATATTTGAAAAGAAAACAAATAAATAAAAATAATTAGTTTATTAATTTTTTTAATTTTAAAAATCTTTTTCTTTATTTTTATATTCACACAAAAAGCTTTTTCACTTAAAGTTAAGTTTATAAAATAAATTTAAGTTGTACTGTACATTTATAGTGGTTTTTAATTTTGTGAAACATTTCTATAAACTATTTGAAGCCAGTCATTTCCATTGCATTAAAAAGTTTTATCATAATATTTTAATTTTTAAATAATGTANGTAATAAGGTATATCTATAAACAGAACAACATACAAAATAATCATATCTTGAAGAAGAATAACAACAAATAATAACAAAATAAGGAAACCAACAGTTTCATCCAGTAATTCCAAAAGTTCGAATATATGCGTAAACAAACAGAGATGAATGTTTATATTTCTGACGTTTTGCAATTTGTCTACATGTTTTATAAAAGCTCGTAGAATGTCTACAAATACTTTAATTACTAAATACCCAGCATATGTGGTAAGTATAGCGATTCCCAAAGAATACCAAATAACGGTCATGATATACACAATACAAACTGTATCTGAAAATTTCCATTTTCCTTTGTTCTTCTGATATCGTAAATATCCAATTGAATTAAATAATATAAAATAGCAAATCACGAAAGATAGTACACTGTAACAGATAGCAGTTTTGTTCCTTTTGTAGTCATAACTCATCAAATTTCGTAAATGGCGATTAACTGGTTTAAAAATCACAACAAAATCTTTTAAAAAATAATAAACTTTATCAGATTCAGCAAAGTAAAACAAGTACAAAAGTGTAATGTTCATAAGAAATAAGACCATATAAATTATTTTCGCAGAATTATTTGGAATAAACCCAATGCAATAATTCATATCCTTATTTGAATTGTCTATCATTATGTATATAATTTGTACAAGAAATGATAAAAATAAAGTGTATAGGAGACATCGAAACATTACTTTACAATTCAGCATACTCTGCCCTTGATTACTTCTAAAGACATTTATTCCAAAATATCGTGCCAAATTTAAAGTAATGCAAAAATAATGTCCAAATGTGTCGTGGATATCTTCAGAGTCCATTTTGAATTAAAACAAATTTAGTTCTGTAAAGTAAGTGATTATAAAAAGAGGTAAAAGATTTTAGTCATGTAGAATCTCATTTGTTTTTTTTTCATAGAAATAGTAAGTGAAAATATTATAACATTTCCAAATTTCATATATTTCNTTGCAAAATATTTTTCATGTATATTACTTCAAAAGTTTATATTTCTGTGGGAGTATGCCAGAACCGACTGAATCATTCGATCCTAAGAAAAGCAATCGAATTATCGTATTTACTTGCATATAAGACGAAGTTTTCATTTGTTCTCTACTGCTTCACCAAATGTGTCGTGGATATCTTCAGAGTCCATTTTGAATTAAAACAAATTTAGTTCTGTAAAGTAAGTGATTATATAAAGAGGTAAAAGATTTTAGTCATGTAGAATCTCATTTGTTTTTTTTTCATAGAAATAGTAAGTGAAAATATTATAACATTTCCAAATTTCATATATTTCCTTCTTGTTTAAATAACATGTATAAATTCACGTTGGTAATTAAATTTAATCAGCAAAAGAACTTTAACCAAATGCCCTCAAGATACAATATCTCATTATTTTGAAACGGAATACTTAGTTTCTCCTATTTTACATGATATTACTCCTTGTTAAACTAAGGTAAGTCTAGTAATGAAAGAGCCTTACTTATCTTCAATATTTGCCAAACATTAGTGGTTGCTATGATACACGTAATACATAAGCACATAAATTAGATTCGAAGTTATAAATACAGTAATTTATATGGTATTTATTCTATCTATTTTAACCGTTCGCTTAATATAAAAACTTTAATTATTTAAACATGGAATTTGCTCTATAATTGTGATAATTATGTTTTATTGTTATTTTGTAAGAATGTGAGCAAATTTCTTATTAAAATATATTTTATTTATTTCCATCTTTGAGTTTTGTCAACAAAATCTATTAAAGTTTTCTCATACGTTAGAAATTTACTTGACTAATTTTCTTTTGTTATATACACAGAGCTGGTTTAGATAGATGCAGACCAAATCTTCAGAATCGCTAATAATGTAATCTTTGTCAATACGTCTTTTGTCCAATTACTAGTGTATCTTAAAGAACGCTACATGTTGGCTGTCATTATTTTTCTAAGGAATTGTTTTAGAATCAGGAATTTTAGCTGAAGAATTTCCAAGAATGTGATCTATCTTCGTTATTTATCATATTTTTCAATGTATATCGTAAAAAATAAATATGCAATATCTTCAGTCATTTGTATATTTTAAAGATACCTAGTGTCTACTTATACACCCAGTCGTAAAGTAAAAAAATAAGAAAAAGAATACAGAGTTTCAGAATAAGTCAAGAAAATTCGAATAAACATACAGATTACAATATTCTGTATGTTGACTTTATGATTTTAACAAGAATATTCAAGTCATATTACTTTTGTAGATAACAGACAGCAGTAGATTTTACATTATTAGAAATAAATAAGTTTTATTTAAAAATAAAATAAATAGAGCATTACAAATAAATTCGATATTTGAAAAGAAAACAAATAAATAAAAATAATTAGTTTATTAATTTTTTTAATTTTAAAAATCTTTTTCTTTATTTTTATATTCACACAAAAAGCTTTTTCACTTAAAGTTAAGTTTATAAAATAAATTTAAGTTGTACTGTACATTTATAGTGGTTTTTAATTTTGTGAAACATTTCTATA